CTTTGAAAATGTCCACCGCAGTTGTGGACGAAACGTCAGGAAGAAATTCCGATAGACCACGGCTTCAAAGCCCGGAAAACATTCCTAAATATTATTTGGGTGTTATTGGTTGGAGGGCTTGGGTAGTGAGGGCGTTTTGTGGGGCGGCTGGTTTAGGGGCTACGGAATTTTGGGCCACTTTAGCGGCGAAGGAGATTCCAGTTGATATCTTGTTCTGGAAGGATGTTTGCTTGGCTAACAAAATTGGGATTTTTTGGGCAACTAAAATAGCTTGCCGGATGGGAGCCTTTGCAGTTAATGCATTTGGCCGGAACTTCTCTCGACTTTTCGCATTCCGTGTAGAAATGGGGTTGGCGCATTTGTGGCAAACTGGCTTTGCCCCACAATTGGCCATAGTATGTCCAAACTTTTGGCATTTTTTGCACTGAGGAATGTGCTTTAGGTTGCTTGTTGAAGAGTTGCGTTGAGCCTGGACGACTACCGCCAAGTTTAAGAGGTGCTTTACCTCAAAGATTTTGGTTTGCTCTTTAGGTAAGAGCATTTTTACCATGTTGATCTTCGTTTTGTAGTTTCCCATTCTGAAGAACTGGACTTGAGATGGGTTGAAGCCGAGACTTTCGATTTCAGATTGAACTTCGTCAAGGGACATATCCTGATGGAGGCCCTTGACAATGGCAATGAGTTTTTTGTCCTCTGGAAGAGCATGAGTATGGAACACAATTTTCTTCTTCGAGAACAGTTTAGTGATGCTCTATGGTCATCAATTAAAGTTGGGTGAATTTGGATCCCTAAATGGACCTTTTTGGAGTTCGAAAATTGGCAGTTGTGCTGTAACAATAGAGAGCAAATTTTTGTCCACTCGGACACATTCCTCATGACGACAGGAATGGCTTGCCATTTTGGGGCAGAAGCTTGGTCCAAAGTGGCACTGGAAGAGGCCTGGCTTTGGGGGGCGGAGCTTTTTGCCCATGTGATGGTGTAGAACGGCGTTTGAGGTTTTTGGAAGATTTAAAGGCGCTATCGGTTTTAGGGCTGGAAAGTCCTCGATTTCCATTTGCTCAGCTTCAGCTGATGGCTTTGCCGGGGCTTGTTGAGCAGGTAGTTCGTGGGTTTGCAGAAGTTGGAGTTGGCGGAAGAGTTCTTTAACTTGGGCTCCTTGGGCCAGGAGAATTTCGGCTTGTTTGCGCTCTTTTTGACGAAGAGCTTTAAGCTCAGAGAGGATGGTTTGGTTGTGTTTTGGTGTTAAATTTGGGGGATTTGGGGGTACGGGGGAATGTTGGTTTACTGTTATCGCTGCTCATGGCCGCACTTTGTTCGCTATCGCAGAATACGACATTTTTCCGCGTGTGAGGACACTCGCGGTTTGCTGGGCTTTTGACAAACACTTGATGAAATTCGCGCACGTTGTTGTTTGGTGGAACTAATAATTGTAGCTATTGATGACTAATTTCACGCACTGGCCGAAGTGACTCTAATTGTTGCTGTTGTTTTAGGTGCTGACGATTGATTTTGAACACTAGCACGAAATCACGCGAGCTGATGCGTCAAACACTGACTGGTGACTATAGAAATTAGCGATTCCAAAATCTGCACTTTGAATGGCAATGTATTCACATTGGCGTGGAAACTAGAGGCTGTCGCCATCTATTGCTCTTGTCGAGTGTCCAAGCAAACTTACTAGAAGGTACAACCATCTCTTCCAACTTCGAATTTGGGACAAAAAAGTTCTAAATTCTGTTCTAATTCTAATGCCTCTGAGACCTGTCGAGTTTGATAAAAACTGCAGTTTTTTAGTTTCGCCTGAATTTTTTTTTGCTTTACTTTCCACCCAAAAAACGCTCTTTTTGCACAGTTTCACTTTAAAATACTGACGCTCCGGAGGTGTTTTATGCGAAAAATTACAAGATAAATTTATAGGTTTCTAAAAATTTTGCAAAAACTTTTTAAAAACAGAAATAAATTGCTTCCGTTTTTTTTTTTCGAAAATCATTAAGGTTTTCTGGAAGACTGAGCACAAAACTTATTCTCTGCCAATCATGGGTCTTTTCAGCGAACAATTACAAAATTAATTTTGTTAGAAAATTCGCCTCATTCATCGCTTCGCATGGATTCTAGAAATTACTTTTGGAAAATTCACCACCCTCATCGCTCGATCTTTTAAGTTTCTTTGAAACTGCAGGTCTTTCCAGTTTTAACAAAGTTTTTCTTAAGCAATTCTTAAGCAAAACTGAAATTTTATTGAGACACTTGCCTCCTTAAGCGCTTTGTAAACATTTTCAGAAAACTTTTTGCAGTTTCATCATTTTTTCTGGGCTTTTTCTCAAAAATATTTCCCCGAACAGAACAAGCGTTTAGAACAGAATACGACGGGTATTCTGTTACCTTTGAATTTGGGGCAAAATCGAAACAAAGATCTCTTGTGTTTTCCCGAAAAGATTAAATTTTCCCTAAAACAATCAGGGAAAAATCAAAAGCATTTAATCAACTATTTGGCAAACTCGTCACCCTCATCCCTCTGAAGTATTTTTAAGGAACTTCGAAATTTCCGGTTTTTCCCGTTTTAGACCAACCAAAATGAGTTACTTGGCCATTTCAAAAGCTCATGACTTTTTTTCCTTTCGCTTTACCGGCTCGATTTGACCGCGAGTTGATTCGTATTTGTCTCAATCCTAATTGGTGTCAATTTCAACCAATTCATATATGATTTAACTGTTTTATTCAAAATTTCTTCTCCCTTCGCGTTTGTACAGGCTCTTATGGACTGTACAAACTTTTCGTCTTTCCCCTATAGCGCACATAGGATTTTTTTTTGAGCCAACCAAAATCAAAAGATTCATTAAAAAAAAATTAAAACTTTTTTAAATAATCATCTCATTTTAAAATTGTCATTTTTAAATACATAATCAAATATCTCAATAAGTAAAAGAGCTGAACTGAATCTAATCAGTCCATTTGTTCTCTTTTGAACAAAACAGATGCATAGATACTGTCCGCCTAAATGGTTCTTTCTCAATTTGACCTTGCAGTCCCCTTGATCTGATAGAGTCGAACTGACCGCGGATTTGGATTCAGCAGTACAAAATACTACATAAATGTGTCTCAAGCCCAGATAAAAAAAAATGTGTGGCTGAGTTATTGACTGTGTAAAAAGTGGTCTACAATAAGAGATTTTGTAAATATTCATACAAATAAAAAACGTTGAAAAAAGAATCAACAAGGTACTATCTTCGAGAAATAAACTCAAGATTTTGTCCAATTTCGGATCACTATGTATGCATCTACTTACCCAGTATTAAGATTCGATTGAGAATTAGGATTGTAGCCTTGTTGTCCAGGATAAGGCTGCGAGGACGGTGGTGGCGCAGGTCCACCGGGTCCGGAAGGTGGCGGAGCCGTATTTACAGAAGAACTGGTATTGGTAGTGGGTGGACCCGAAAATGGAGGACCCTGTGTGTTGTTTTGTCCATAATTTTGCGGAGGGGGCACTGCAATTAACGAAAACCTCGTGATACCAACAACAGACTGTGGTCAAACTCAATCAACCTTGGGAAGACGGGGCTTGGTCGGGAGGCGGTCCATAAGGACTACCTTGTGGAGGGCCTTGCGGAGGAGGAGCCTGTTGGGGGCCTCCTTGAGAGGGTGGCGGAGCGTAGCCTTGTGGTGGGTAACCTCCTGCAATTCAACAGTTCAATCGTATAATTCCCAGCCAAATACAGGGTTCAATTATTAAATTATGACCCGGCTAATAGTAATCAACTGTTTCAGGAGATGTTCAAAATGCCTGCCTTCCAAACACTTTACTACTCTTTTTTAAAATAATTTTGCACTAACGCTAACATTTCAGGTGTTACTAACAAGCAGGCAGAGCGAATTCTCTCCTTCATATTATCTGAGGTGGTGGGTGCAGTGGCCATCACGCTATCTTTTATAAAACCGCGCAAAAAATTTCAAGCGGCGTCAAATCTGGAGATCGGGCAGGCCAGTTGACCGGACCACCTCGACCAATCCATCTGTTTGGAAATATTTCATCTAAATGACTACGGGCTAATAGGGTGGAGCCCCATCTTGCTGAAACCACACATTCATGTTCGGGCTCAATAACTGAGATAAACTGTTGGTGTACATATTTCCATTTAAATGTCTTTAGAAAATATGGGGACCAATAATGCAGTCCTCAATTATACCACACCAAACATTAGGCGACCAGGAATGTTGGTTTGGCACAGTTCTGATCTAGTAAGGACTTTTCGCCGCCCAATAGAGCAATTGGGAAATCTCGCCCAAAAGTCGAATGGCGACTTCCTTAAAACTTTCGCAGCAAATCTCTCCGAAAAGTCGCCCAAGCTGGCCACATTGGTCCCCATAATTTAATATTACCTATTATCAGAACAAACCGACTATCTTAAAACAATCTATATTTAAAGAGACAATAACTGTCTCTAAGGTTACCTTGAGATGATGAATAGCTTTGCGGCGGCGGGGCTCCGGCGTAAGATGCAGGTCCATTAGGAGGCACTCCGTAGGGAGCAGACGATTGAGGTGGAGGCCCATTAGGAGGTGCATATGATCCAGTTGCGGGCCCTTGTGGAGGAGCGTTTGAGGCAGGTGGAGCGGCCCCGTATCCTGCAATTCAACGTCATACACGATTTATAAAAGCTCGCCAACCTACACTATTACCTTGCTGTTGGTAACTGTTGTAAGCAGTAGTAGGAGGCGGTTGCCCATAGTTACTTTGAGTGTTGGGAGGATAAACCGGTGGTTGGTTGGGCGGCGGGTACTGGCCTTGGGGATACCCTTGACCTTGTGGAGGATACTGGCTCGGGTACTGGCCTTGCTGATATCCGCGTTGCTGGTAGCCTGGATGAGGAGCTACAAATTGAACCATTCGACCGTTGGAAATTAATCGAAAATATTGTACAACCTGGTCCTGGAGGTCCCGTAGGTCGTCCAGGTGCCGGAGGGCCTGGAGGTTGCCGGTATCCTGCTGAGGGAGGTTGCTGCTGATGGTTATAGTTGTTCAAATGCTGTTGTTCTTGGGTTTGCGATTGGGATGGAGGTCCATGACTGGGCTGAGCTGGGGGAGGACCTCCAGGTTGTCCTGGTGGTGGTCCACCCACTGGCACAGGCGGCTGAATCATCTGTGAACAAGACAATTAACATTCTAGTTTATAGAAAGGAATTATCGTCAAGCATCAATTCGTGGGGATTTTAGGGAAATTTGGTCCACTTTTCGGTAAAACCTTTTTTTTATGGTGCGAAAATTTTTGTTCAAAAAAAAAGTTTTGTCTAACTACACTTCACGTTGTACGGTTTTTTTTAATTCTCATGTTTAAAATTTTTGAAAAATCAGCAGAAGTGGGGATTTTAGTGAAATTTGGTCCGCTTTCCTATAAACCCGTTTTCTTTATGGTGCGAACATTTCAGTTTGTAGGTGTAAGTGGTTTGGGAGTTACGAATTTTTGTCTAACTGCACTTGAAGTTGAACGGTTTTTTAATTTCTCGTCAAGTTTCAAAATTTGTCAAAAATCAGCCGAAATGGGGATTTTAGTGAAAATTGGTCCGCCTTTCGATAGAACCTTTTTCTTTATGGTGCGAAAATTTCAGATTGCTGATGTAAGTGGTTTGGCAGTTACGAATTTTTGTATGACTTCACTTCAAGTTATACGGTTTTCAAATTTTTCGCCGTTTAAAAAATTTCTGAAAAATCACCATAAGTGAGATTTTAGTAAAATTTGGTCCGCTCTTCGATAAAACTCTTTTCTTTGTGATGCGAAAATTTCAGATTGCTAATGTAAGTGGTTTTGGAGCCACGAATTTTTGTCTAAATACACTTCAACTTGTACGTTTTTTTTTTAATTTCTCAAGTAATTTTTTTTTTAATCAGGCGAAGAGGGGATTTTAGTGAAATTTAGTCCACTTTTCTATCAAACCTTTTTCCATATGGTGCGAAAATTTCAGCTTGTTGATGTAAGTGGTTTGGGAGCCACCAAATTTTGCTTAACTGCACTTTAAGTTGGACGGTTTTTTAAATTTATCGTCAAGTGTAGTTTTTTTAAAAATCAGTTGAAGTTTGGAATTTTAATAAAATTTTGTCGGCTTTTCCATAAAACCTTTTTCTTTATGGAGCGAAAATTTCAGTTTGTTGGTGTAAGTGGTTTGGGAGTTACGAATTTGTGCCTAACTGCACTTAAAATAATAATACAAATATACACATATACTTAAAATATACAAAAGTAAAAAATAATTACCTGACAAGATCTAAATAATTTAAACCTACCCTAATTGAATGAATCTATATGCTAGGTATCCAAGGAAACAATTGACATTAACTTAAAACGTTTTGGGCAGTTTGGCAACGCCGCTAGAAATTTAGCCATTTAAGTGTTCTTTAAAGTAAAAATGTTCCAAGAAAACAAAAAAAAAACAAAACATTCGGAGGAACTCAAACCACACGATCACCTTTGTACATAAGCACTCAAAGGCATATGAACGTTTTTTTAAGTGTCGGTTCGCTGAATCATCCTGTATACTATTTTTTTAAATAATGTGTCTTTGCCGACTTTATCCTTTGACTGTTTGTCTGATAAACCCAAAGAAACTAATATTTAACCTGAAAATATACTGAACTATTCCAATCATTTCAGGCCCTTCCACATCAAACTTCTTAAACTAGCTACTCCCTAGGACCCTTCCAGATCAATCTGCAATAACTTACAGGCAGCAAAGAGTTAACATTTTGAGCATTATCAGCTATTGTAGCTAGAAACACCAAATTTCGATGTAGCTGAGTCTGGTACTGCAACACTTCCTGTACTTTTCCCTTACTCTGGTACTCTTGAATCGTTTGTATCAGATGCCCATTTTCGTCCAGCAATTTTTGGATTTGCTGGGGATTTGGGGGTTGTCTTGGACCATTCGTTCTTGCAAATGCGGTGGACATTGTTTGGAATCAGTTGTTAATCACTCTAAACTTCTGATGTCATTTGAACCCAAAACGTTTCTATTCAACATTGATTTAGAACGTAACTAGAAGGCGGCTACGACGATTTGCAATTGAAAACCACTTTTAAGCAATTAGCTTGAATCAGCTTGTAAGCAAGCTTTAAGGGAAGATAATTTAGAGGTTAGTATCATATTGATTTTCTAGTTGATAAAACAGATCCCTTTTCGGGCCAGTATATGACGTTCGCAATGTTGAGTTGGCAACAGTAGAAGCCACATTTGGAGGGTGTAAAACGCCCTTTTAGGACAATGGTTTTTTTTACAAAAATGTAAATCATATCAAATTATCATAAAATGATGAATCAATTGTTCTATTAAATTTTATCCTGTTCGCTCGGCGGCAGTTGCGGATGAACTAATAGATCTTTTTTTAAATAATAAAGTAATTTCAATTAATCAAGAAGCAAAAGTAGCAAATTTTATTAATGAAACTTAATTATAACAAGTAGACGTTTATTTTAAATATACAGTCAGTAAAAAAGTATCCATATATCAGTAATTTTTAAAGCTTTTTCCCACTTTGCTATTTTATTTAAGTTATTTGATCTTTAAATTCAATTTTTCTATTATCTTGCTTCAAGGACCTAGAGGGCGCTAGGTGTAATAGTCCTTTCATTCCTAAAAACAATTTATTTCTAAATTAATACAAACAATAGAATTTAGTTGTAGCCGAACCTTAACTATGACTTCCCGCTAAACAATTTTTCGTTTCAGAAACGTACATTAAAATCCCGAAACGTTTCAGTAACCTGCACTATATGTTTCAGAAATGTTTATGTAAG